GACTCCTTTTCCGGCGTCGCCGCTATAATACTGTTATTCGCAATCCTTCCTCCATGCTTCTTTTTCTTCATTTTCGCCATGCCCTGCGCATTCTCCCCATCCTCCTCCTCAGCTCTTTTTGCGGAGGCTCCTCCTTGGAGAGCATCTTGGGGCCGCGCAAAAGTTGTTTCGGGCTTTCTTAAGGCCTTTGGAGGCCTCATGGGCGTGTGCTGGGGGCCTCTAGGGGCTTCCTCGGGCCACCCTGCCGCCAACCGCGGTCTCCCTGAACGACCGGGTCACGATTTGGAACTTCGGAGGGTGTTTTGGGACCATCTTGGGCCGCCATGGGGCTCTCTCAGGGCCATCTTGGACCCCTGTTGTGCCGTTTTGGGGCTCTCTTGGACTGCCTGGAAGCCCTTTCGGATGGTTGTGGGGCGATTTTGGAGCCTCCCAGGTGGCTTCGGACGCCCAGAAGACCGCCGTATTGGAGCGTCGGGAAGCCGAAAAGAGGAGAACCCCAAAATAAACCAAAAACCAACACAATCAATGATTTTTGCCTCCTGGGGCCTTCTTGGGAGTGCTCTTGGAGGCCTCTTGGGACGTTTCGGGACGATCTTTTGGGGTGACGGCTTCTTGGGGGATGTCGTCGACCGTATTGGGGCTCTCTGGGGTCGTTTCGGGAGGTCGCCACGTCCTGCGAGGCCCGGGGGGCCGCTTCGAGGCCCGTCTGGAGGGCCCCACACGCCCTAGATCCTGAGAGCCTGGTTTTTTGTGAGGGGGGGGTGACGGGTTTCCCCCCGCCCGGGTTTGTAAAAATATAGACAGAAGAAGTATACATATATACATACACTTTTCTTGCCTCCCTTGCCTTCTAGGTACACGATAGACATTTCAAGATTCGAGATGCCATTATTCCTTGTCTGCGCCCTTGCGTGATAAACATCCAATGTATTGAAATGTCGATGTATTGATCACGTCCATTTATAATTACACTACGCTTCGCGTCGGTGAAACGAAAGCGTTGGCACATAAGGCAACTGTCTCAATGGATCCATGTTGTTGCACGGCTGGACAGCTATGCATCCATGCCCGTGCATTAGTCGATGTTGCAATGCGACATCGCTGCACGATTGAGGCGATACGTTGTTTAATACATTTTGCATCGCCGCAACAATACGTAGGCACGCCATGACACTGCGCAACTGTATGCAACCGCAGTGGCGCGTGTATGCTATTGAACGCGACGCTGTGTATACATTCGCGATCATTTGGCTGTGGAGATGTCCAGCTGACTGCGGCAAACCCCGCCACCGCGTCAGAGTAGCAGCGCAGTATCAAGGAGGTTCCACTTCGGGCCCTCCCCAGCTCGGCGCCATGCTTGAAGTGGCGCGGGTGTGGAGCACCCCCTCCCGGCCCACAGCTTCATTCTCCTCTTCCCTCCTTTTCCTCTTCCTCCTCCCTCCCCGTCGTGGGTTCAGGGCGAGCGCCACGCAAGCGCAGCTCGCAGCAAGGCCAGGCCACGCAGGCCAGGCCGGGGTTGCCGTTGCCCGATGCGGCCTTCGGCTTTCGGCCTCCTCCTTCCCCCATCTTGACATCACATCAGAGCCCCGAATCATCAGGGGTAACTCGGGTCAGGGATAACTCGGGTTCGTTTTTCGGGAATCCGAACCCGACTTACCCCGGATAGTTCGGGCGTCCAGAGCCCCGAATCATCAGGGGTAACTCGGGTCAGGGCTAACTCGGGTTCCTTTTTCGGGAATCCAAACCCGAGTTACCCCGGACCCGAGTTACCCCGGATAACTCGGGCGCCCAATCACAGTGGGGGCCGATGGGTGGCTCCCGTGAGATCTCTTGGTAGCCTCTTCGGGGCCTGCCGGGAGCCCATTGAGGGCCCGTCGGAGACCGCGGGGCCGCATACGGCTTCGCGGGGCTCTGCCGAAAGAGGATCGGCTGACCCGCAGTTGGAACGTGTGGGCATTTCTTGGGGTCCGCTCGCCCTGAAAGGATAGGGAAAGAATTGGGACGCAGACCAACAGCAGTTCCTGCCTATGTTGGACTGGCTTCGCTGCCTGTGTCGCCGCGGGCGTTGTCAATTTGAGACGTACATTCGCCTGCGCACCAGCGTCCGCTGCCGGTTTGAGAAACAGTTGCATTTGGGCATCGGGCCATGTTGTTCGGTCCCCATTGCTAGCGGGCCAACCGGCCATTCAGGTTTTCGTTCTAAGTTGCGCTTGGGCTGCTGAACGGCAAAACCATGCCCGTCAGAGTCAGAGTTTTCATGGTGCCAGTGATTTCTGGAGGGTGCGGGTTGCCAGTGAAGACCATCGTTCGGCGTGCATTTCTTAATCCTACAAGGCGCCTCCAGCCCTGAGCAAGGAGGAGATGCAAGCGCTCGTCAAGGCGGCCTTCCAGAAGTTGGTTGCCTCGGGCGTGCCCCCGAATGAGGCAGCTGTGCAGGCTATGCAGCAGGTGAAAGACAGGAAATTCCAGCCGCCACCACGCGATGCCTGATGTGTGGCTCGTCCGCCGATGATACTGCCTGTGGACCGAGACGCCAGTCCTCTTTGCAGACGTGAGGGTTACAGCAACGTGTTCGACGCGCAGGAGTTCTTGCGCGTCCAGTCCACCCTGCCCCGCTGAGCGCTCAGCCTGCACAGGCCCTTCATGCTTCAGTGATGGGGAGTTCGCCCCTTCTATACAGCCTGAGGTGTAGGGCTCCTCACGATCGGCCGTGTGAAGTGGGGCTGCAGGATCGCTGCGGTGGCCCGTTGCTCATGGCCCTGTATGGTGTCCAGGTGGGGCAGGGCTCGAGGGCCGAGTCAGTGGCCCAAGAGGACGTCATCATGAACATTAAGTCGGGCGTGCTCCTCTACAGGAGGATGATTCAGACATAGTCAAACAAATACTACGGGGACGATTTCTCTATCACTTCTGACTATCTGCGAATCTGTGTTTGCTATCTCTCTCGTTTCTTCCAAAATCCACCTGTAGGAGGACACGTCCGACCTTTAGTCGGCCTGGATTAGTAGGTCGACCCTGCCAAATCAAGGGTATTATTGTGTCTTGTGCCTCGCGACCTATGGCTCCTGCATTCCTGTGGCAATGTGGCCCTGGGGAAGGGTCTTGTGTCCTCTCGCGTGTCCTGTCCAACCAAGTCCGACCGTAACATTCACAGCTCGAAGCGACAGGACCATTCCTGATTGGCTACAGCTCAGGGGGGGTCGGCTTTCGATCCGGTCGTTCGCGACCCACGCCCCACATGACCCCTCGCAGTCCTTTCGTGCGCCAGATGGTGCCCAAGACTCGAGTCGGTGACTGGCGGCCCCGGTGCCCTGCGACCCCAGGAAGCAATCAGTACCCCCCCCCAACGATAGCAACGATAACAACGATAGCAACGATAACGATCGTGGTCATCGCTGTTATCGCTATTATCGCTGTTATCGTTGATCGTTATCGTTGTGACCGTTGTCGCCAGTGGAAACTGCAACCCTTCTGGCACTGGGGCCAGGGCGGAAGCGATATCCACCGCAGCGGCCCGCGAACACCAAGCTTTTTTTCTGGGCGGGCAGTGTTCCGACGACGGGCTTCCTGGGGATCCCAGAAGGTTCTTGCGCCGGGCGCTCCGGACAGGGGATCGTGCTCGAGACGGGCGGCGTGAGAGTTGCGTCAGCTGCGAAGGAGGCTAATTCGAGATTGCTCCCGGGTTCTTTCGAAGCTCCTGTGGCGATGCTGTGCATATTCCTATTTATATATTTTTACAGGGCCAGGGACCCCGGAAAAGCGGCACACGGTGCCCCCCCCCCAAACGAATTTCGGCCTCCCCGAGCCTTTGGGGCGCTCCGGCAGAGTGCTCCGTGTCTGTCCTGCGAGTGCGACGCGAAAAAAAAAGCCCTCACGACAGCCAAAGAGGGCCCCGAGACACCCAAAAATCGGCCCAAGGCGCCCAATCTGGGCCCAAGACTGCCCAAGACGCGTCCAAGACGCCCCCAAAGACCCCCAAGAGGCCTCCCAAGAGAGCCCCGAGAGGCTACAATTGTTGATTTTCCTGTGTGTGTTTTTCGATGTTTTTGGCCTTCTCGTTTTCCCCGCTTCCCGACGCTCCACAATGGCCCAAGAGGCTCCCTAGATCGCCCCAATACTGCCCACGAGGCCCCCAAGAAGGCCCCGACACGGTCCAGGAGGGCTCCGAGACCGCCCAAGAGGCGCCCAAGACGGCCCAAGAGAGCACCAAGACGGCCTCAAGAGAGACCCAAGAGGGCGCCCAAAAATTAAATTACCCTGCGACGTACCCAACCCACGTGCATCAAATGGCAAGAGGAGTATGCCAACATTAGCAGGAACAGCGACAGTGTAGACGCGGCGATTTGCTGTGCAAGCTACATGGGATGCGCATGCGTTGCACGATTCACAGGACGACGATCGAAAGAACGAGGCTTGAGGCCCCAGGATCGAAGAAGAACGGGTACGGGAACGAGGGGTAGGAGAGGGATGGAATGGAGGGCGGGGGGGGCGAAAGGCCATCGCGGAAGCAGCAGCATGCATGGAGAAGGTGAGGCGGGGAATAGGACGACGATGAAAGTGGCGGGAGGAGACAGAAGACTGCCGCGTTTTTCAAGTGCGAGCTAAACCCGCAGCGCTGCCTGCGCCATGTCGTCGCAGAGTTCCACATGATAAAACTTGTTTAGAGTGCAAGGAACGAGCGAGGCGTAGCTCGCCCGCTAGCTTCTCCGCCTCCTTCCCGCACATTTCAGCGCGGGAGCTGAACGCTCGCAGGCGCGCCGCCAGGTCTGCGGGCGGCCCGCGGGAAAGAAACTCAAGGCCGGGGTCGCGTATCATCAATCGGTTGTCCATCGTCCAAAGTTGCACTGGCGACGTACTGGTTGAACGCGGAGCGAGCAGCATCACGCGCGTGCCTGAACGCCACGCAGGTACAGTGCACGCGCGATTGGGACTTCAGGTCGATCACGCGCGTCTCCACCAGGCTTGGCAACACCACGCGACTGAGGATCTCACTGCGGTCTGCCATGCTGCTGTCCGCGAATGCAATGCGCTGCCTGCAAGTAAGGCGGCGGCGTCCACTTGTCTCAGAAGATGTTCCCGCGGGCCCGAAGGGCGACCGCCAGCTCGAGCCGCGGCGCCGGCAGGCCAGATAAGGATCATGCAACAGCAAAGACGATGACAGAGCAACGAGGTATCGGCGAGTGCATGACCGGCCTCCGTTTCCTGCACTTCTTTCCTGTAGTTCCCCTAGCTCATCGAGCTCAGCAGATGTTTCTGCGGGTCCGAAGGACGACCGCCAGCTCGAGTCGCAGCGCCACGTGGCACGAACCGCAGAGCAAGGGCACGCGAGCATTGCTCGTGGTCAGAATCTGAGTCCCCGTGGTGCCTCACTCCGCTGGCCACCCACCAGCAGCCCTCGAAAGTGGCGACAGTTTCACAGATCGCAGCCGCCCAGGGGTGGCGAGGTCTAATCTGAGTCCCCGTGGTGCCTCACTCCGCTGGACCCACCAGCAGCCTCGAAAGTGGCGACAGTTTCACACAGGGATGGCGAGGTCTAATCTGAGTCCCCGTGGTGCCTCGCTCCGCTGGACCCACCAGCAGCCCTCGAAAGTGGTGACAGTTTCACAGATCGCAGCCCCCCAGAGATGGCGAGGTCTAATCTGAGTCCCCGTGGTGCCTCACTCCGCTGGACCCACCAGCAGCCCTCGAAAGTGGCGACAGTTTCACAGATCGCAGCCCCCCAGAGATGGCGAGGTCTAATCTGAGTCCCCGTGGTGCCTCACTCCGCTGGACCCACCAGCAGCCCTCGAAAGTGGTGACAGTTTCACAGATCGCAGCCCCCCCCAGAGATGGCGAGGTCTAATCTGAGTCCCCGTGGTGCCTCACTCCGCTGGACCCACCAGCAGCCCTCGAAAGTGGCGACAGTTTCACAGATCGCAGCCCCCCCCCCCCAGGGATGGCGAGGTCTAATCTGAGTCCCCGTGGTGCCTCACTCCGCTGGACCCACCAGCAGCCCTCGAAAGTGGCGACAGTTCCGCAGATCGCAGCCCGCCAGGGATGACGTGAAAGGCAAGAGAAGAGAAGAGGAGGAGCGAAGAGAGGAGGAGAAGGCAAGCGAGAGAGGAGAGGAGGAGGGAAGAGAGGGGGGGGGCGGGAGGAGGAGAACGGAGACCGCATTGCTCTATTCAAAACGAGTACCCAACGCAGGAGGGTTGGGGAAAAAAAAACTAATTTTTCCGCCGCGAGAGGGCCCCAAGAGGCCCGGAGAGAGCCCCATGAGGCCCCAAGAGGCCCCCAAGCGGCCCCAAGGAGCCCCCAAGAGGCCCCCAAAAGATCCCCAGAACCCCAAAACACCCCCAAGAGGTTTCAAAACTGCCTCCCAGAGGGCCCCGAGAGGCGCACCACGAGATCCCAACACAGCGGTCTCCCCCTCTCATTATCCCTTCTCTTTGTCGTCGCCTTCTTCGTCGTCGTCGTCGTTGTCGTATCAAATGGCGCAGCGAGGCCATTTTTCGTTCAAGCCACCGAAGGACCCAAGAGCTCCTCCTCCTCTTCCTCATTCTCTTCCTCCTCTACCTCCTCCTCCTCCTTCTCCTAATTCCCCGTGATGTTTCACGTTCCACCCCGCCAAAGGTCTAGCAGAAGGAGCTTTCCTCACTCTCCCAAGTGTCTGCTGCGGATTTCTTCCGCGACACCTCGGCTGCGCCCCAGATATCCACATAATCTGTCCTCTTCATCCTCTTCCTCCTCTTCATCCTCCTCCTCTTCCTCCTCCTCCTCCTTCTCCTCATCCTCTTCATGTTCCTCTTCCCGCCTCGACTGAGCTTCTCGCAACACTCAATACAAACCGTCGGGGCCACGACGCCATCTCATCCGGACGCGCTGTTGGGAACCAGGGTTTTTGTGACATTTCGGAGATCAGGCCGTCGGGAACCTTCGGTTTCAGCACGCATCCTGGGGAAACGCTCTCTGGGGACTCACGGCCGCGCGAACACTTGCAACGTCGGCCACTTTCGCGCGCGACTTCTCGCAACTCTGAGTTCAAGGATGCCCTGAGCAGAGGCGTTCAGAACACTCTTCGCTTGAAACTTCCTCGCGCGGCTGACTTCGGACACGCCCTCCCCTGAGCGGAGGTGTTCAGGCCATTTGCACCCGGGACGTCCTCGCAACACTGACTTTGGCGACGCACTGTCCCGCGGTAGTCCGACCACGTTTGCCTGAGACCCTCGCGCCTTTTAGCGGCGCGATGATATGAGCAACTGGTCAGGCCACTACCGCCTGATATACGCATGCGTATGCGCGCACGTAGTTACACTGACCATTTGCATATACATGCACAAATCCATACAAACGTATACATTTATGCACGTATGTACGATGCATTCATAGACGCATGCGTGTGCGCATGTACGCGCGCTCGCACTCCGCTAGCGTGCGAATTCCAAAGGACCAAAGTGCATGGCGCGCAGCGCCAATGCAGTCTTGCATATATATATATACACATGTAAATA